TTACATTTCCAAGAGGAAACAAATTGCCATTCATACTTTTCTAAGTGAAGTATTGGAGAGGGACGATTTGTCAATCAAGTGCAATAGATGTCGTATTGAAATGGAACATTTACATGAGGTTAATGCATTCACTCTTCATCATGTCATGTATAAAGATGATGACTTTACAAAGACATTTAGGAGTACAACAAAATTCATTCCCGAATTCAAAAAGTTTGGTGCTGATTGGTTCAAGAAGAATGAAAAGTTGGAAGTATTGTGTAGACCTTGTCATGGTTTGGAACATGCAAGGAATGTTGAAGGTGGTTCTAATTGGCAATATTGTCATGAAAAGATGATCACCTTGATGGGAGGAAAATGTCAGGAATGTGGCCTGTCTTTTGAATCCAATTCAGAATTGGGAAAGATCTTTCATGTGCATCACAAGAATAGGGATGGTGTGAAGAAGAGAGCCCAAGCAACAGAAGATATTGATGATGAAGAGAGGGAAGTAGCCCAACATGTTAATGAGTACAAGTTAATTCTTGCAATGACTGAAGAGCAACAAGTAGAAAAGTTGAAGGAATTTGAATTGCTATGTGATGGATGCCATTATTTTGAGCACATGGAAAAGCATGCAAGATCGGAAGTTATCGATTTAGGAATGAAGGAGAGAATGATGAACTTGTTGAGTTTTCAAAGAGTATTGTCTATGGAAAAATAATAAATTGTGATGATGATTTGGGACAAAGTACTGTCATACCTTGTAAAATTGTGGTAGAGTTTTCCCTCTGGTACTGCCATTTTTTTGTTGGATTTAAAAAAATTAAGGATCCGCAACTCGAGTGACTTGTTCACTACTTCAAGTATTTCCAATTACTTCATTTCCAGATATATTAGTGATATTTCCAATCATAATAAATGATATTATTGAAGATGTCTACTCGTAGTTTGCAACATTGTTATTATTTTGTGTTGGGTGAGGTTGTGTGCATTGAGTTGATGTTTGGTTGCATTTTTTGTTTCAAGATTGCATCTCATTTTTAACCTGAAATTCAAGCGAAAAATCATGTACCCACTTTAGAACAGCTCATTCTCAATCATTTCTTGAATTAAAGATTGGAAAATTGAACCACATGTAGATAAACTCGTAAATGCGAGAATTTGAAAAAATAAAGTAAAAATATCAAGAAACAAAGCGAGGAATAGCAAAAGATTACCAAAAAGTTTATTTTTTATTCTTGAAAGGAACCTTAAATTTCTTCACAACAGCAGCAGCAACAGCAGTACCCTTAGTAATGGGTGTTTGGATTTGTTTTGGAGATTGATCAATTCTAGTGACATATCCATGAGTGAGTTCATTCCAAAATTTGCCAGATTCAGCTGGTGTTTCCTCCTTCTCTTCAAAGGCTTGCCTAATAGCATTGTAATGCTTTTTAACTCCAACGATTGACCAGTCCAACTTTACACCAATCAAAATTGGGAATTTATCTAACAAATTTCCAAGGTGGAAAAGCTTGGTCATTTTGGAAACACCTACGGAAGGGGCAAACTTGTGGAAGGCATCTTTCTTTTTCAATTGTCTGTTACTGGCAAGTTCTTTGGAAAGTTGAATGAAAACTCGCAAGCTGATTAAATTTTTGCAATATACACTTGAATTCAATGCTTTGGAAATGTCAGTCTTTAATCTGTGGACATCACCATCAAATATTGTTCCAATTACTTGTTCACTAGCACTAGTGATTAGATTCTGTTTCAATTTTTGTAAGGTAATCCTATTAGCTTCATCCAACTTTTGAACAGCATATTCTATTAGCTGAGAAGGAACAATAAAATTACAGATCCTCAATTTATAAATACTTACATTCTTTTGCTTCTTTCCATTCTTTAAAGAGTTTCTTTTTCTCTTCTTTGATTTTGCCTTTTCCTCCTCAGAATTACTATAGGAATCATTCTCATCATGTTCATTATCGGATACATGTTCAAACTCTTCTGATAATTTATCTTGATCCTTATTACAATTGAAATGAATAAAAAATTGCAGATCCTTAATTTTGTAATACTTACATCATGATGGCTTTTCTCGGAAGCATCTTGTTGTTGATCATTATCATCTTCCATTTGATCTAATATTTTCTCCTCATCATCAGAAGGTTCTGTTTCAATATCTTGTTTCTATTATTTAAATAATATTCAATTGTATATACTTGTATTCAAATAAATAAACAAACCTTAATCACTTTCGTAATTACATCATTATCTTCTTCATCATCAATTTGGATTGGATGGAGAGTACGAAATACCTTCAACTGGAATATCCAATTGGATTCA